AGTGAGATTCTGACTCAAATAAATAAACAAATAAATAAATATAATAATAATACATTCCATGGTGGCAGGACCCACATTAGAAAAAAACTGTGTTTATCACAGCATTGAACATTGCCTCTTGGAACATAGTAGGCTGTAATAAATAGTACCTTAATGATTTAGGTAATTCATGTATATACACATACCTACTTTTACAGTCAGTCCCTAAAATCAAACATGGCCCTGAAATGTAAAAGCTAAACATTAGGTTTATCTGTCTTAAGGCTGGTGGTGGGAGTGAAGGGATGAAAACTGCATTGCCCAAGAAAGAGAAGAAAAAATTAGAAAATTCTCTAACCATACTTTTTACATGCTGTAGGAGTCTGGATTACAGTCCAACAAATATTCCCTCCTTTTTTTTTTTTTTTGTTTTGAGTTGGAGTCTCACTCTGTTGCCCAGAACATTTAAGAAATGTTAAAATATGCCAAATGGTAAAGATATATGAATCAACATTGGCAGTGTAAAAAAATTCCCTGATCCTATTTTGGACAAAGGAAGTCACATGGGGCATACTCACAGCCACCCTACCATCATGGCACACTCACAGTCACCCTACCGTCAACCTGCTGGGCTCCAGCAATCCTTCCGCCTCAGCCTTCCAAGTAGCTGGAACTACAAGAAAGCACTCCAATATCCTGCTAATTTTTTGATTTATTGTAGAGACCGGGTCTCACCATGTTGCCCAGGATGGTCTCAAACCCGCGGGCTCAGGTAATCCTCTCGCCTCGCTACCGCGTCCAGCCCCTTCTTTTCTTTTGGACAGCATCTACTTTTACACATAGGTGTTGAGCTTCCCCATGTGACTTCCTTTGTCCAAAATAGGTTGTCAGTGGAAGTGACATTTACTTGTGTGGTCTGCCTTGGCTCTTGACTCCAGGGATCTGCCACAAGAAGACTGTGGCCCAAGTAGCTGCTATCCCTTCTGCCTAGGCCCCAGAAGACATATGGAACAGACTGGAACCCAACCCACAGGTTACAGCAGAGCCACCCCAATGAGCCAAGCCTAGATCAGTCAAATCATAGTCAACCTGAAGACCTATGGGTATGAAAATAAGTACCTGTTGCTGTGATCAGGGAGTTTTTTTACACTGCCAATGTTGATTCATATATCTTTACCATTTGACATATTTTAACATTTCGTACATGTTCATTCATTTTGTTTCTTTTCTTCACAAAGAAAAACAGGCTGAAGAATCTCCACCCTGGGCACATCCAGTGATTTCTACCTTTGGATCAACGGTTCTAAATTTATGAGATCTAAGTTTTCATTAATATCAGTGTTTTTCATCTGTCCTACTTTCTTTCTGAAATAAGGAAACTCATAATAAAATATCAAGGACAGTATAAACATTGCTGAAACTGAACCATTGGCTGTAACTAGGTGCTCCATGGAACAGCCAAATTGTTAGCTGGTTAGCTGATTTAAAAGAGAAAAAACAGCCAAATGTGGTGGTTCACGCCTGTAATCTCAGCATTTTGGGCGGCTGGGACATGAGGATTGCTTGAGCCCAGGAGTTCGAGACCAGCCTGGGTAACATAGCGAGACCTCATCTCTACAGAACAATCAAAAAATTAGCCTGACGTGGTGGTGTGGACCTGTAGTCCCAGCTACTTGGGAGGCTAAGGAAGTAGGATTGCCTGAGTCCAGGAGGTCAAGGTTGCAGTAAGCCATGATCATGCCACTGTATTCCAGCCTAGATGACAGAGTGAGACACTGACTCAAATAAATAAATAAATAAATAAAACAAAGCCTAAAGGATGTCCTAGTAAAACAAACAGAATGCAGACTGTACTAAAGTCAACTTAACCAAAGTCAAAGACTATATGTTCAGATGGATTTGTGAACTCCAACACCATTCACCTATCTCATTTTTCAGGATACTTGCTTTGGCAAACCTCCACCACTGAGTTTCACCAATGGGAAGAGACTTGATAAGGCTGTCTAACAGCTTTTCCAACAAAATAAAACGAGGGCCATACCATTTGAAGAGAATCGTTTTAAATATAACATTATTTAATCACTAATTAAGAAGGATCTCTGTAGATAACAAAGAAAATAAAACTTAAAACCCTTATGGAGGAAACAATGGAATGATGCTAAGAGCAGGATCTATTCAAAACTCCCATTGAAAGTTTAAGGTGTCAAGAAAAATGAAACAATATGGACTTTGTTGTTTTTTTAATTTTTATTTTAAAGATGTGGGGTATAAGTCAGGGTTAAGTATACAGATGGTCATTGTACACATAAAGTTGGAACCTCACTTTGGTCCCCAGGTCTCCTGGTTTGAGATCAGGTACCCCCATTGATGAAGTGTGCCCCCCCCCGGCAGTTTTCCGTTACTGCCAATCCCTTTCTTGTAGTATTATAATTGTTCTTGGATTTTGTTTTATTTTGCCTTCTTTTAAGTCATCATTAAGTTTGAAACTGAATTTCCATTGGGTCAATAGTGATCTACTAGAAATATACAATGCACAAAGTTATTAAATTTGCCTATTGGCAGAAGCAACAGTCTTCAAATGGAAAAGCAAACTTGCTTGTGCAAGGATCTTCAACATTGCAGTGGGTTCTTAAAAGGGTTGGTGCTATATATTCTGGGAGAATCTACACTTCAGACTGGACACATGTGAACTACACAACCAAAATTTGAATTCAAGGCCATGTCCAAGGTCATAGGCTGTGGGTCAGACAAACCTGTGCTCAAGTTCTTGCTCTCACACTATATGGCGGCAAGATGCTAATTCCTTCCATTTTCCTCATTTATAATGTGGGGACCTCACAAGGGCTCTGCAAGGTTTAAAAAAGATAATATATGTGAAGTACTCAGCAAAGTGCTAGCATATACGATGATGATGATGATGATGATGATGACGATGACAACAGAAATGTCATAATACATCCTTTACAAACCTTCTACATGAAGATCATCCTAATCAGTGTATTCTGGCTCACACTCTGTGAAGGCTGAATTCCCAGCATTGGGTTCCCATCCAGGTACAGCTTCTATAAAGTGACCGCTCTTTGGATCAACCAGTACTTTTTCTAATGAATTCAGGGAGAAGGGTATTGAAAACTCAGCCTTTCACTAGTAGAGAGTTGGGAAGGATCTGGTTCTTCTCCCATGATTCATCCACCGTGAAAGTCTTGCTGATGAAAGTCATGACACTGTCACCATCCACACCCCATCCCCATCAAAATCGTGGAAGTCTTTTATTAAAGCACAAAAGCAAACAGACAAGATGACTCACATCAGAAAAAGGCAAACTCTTCTTACCCCCTAAGAATATGGTTACACCACCACCACCACGAAACTGACATTCCAAAAAAGAGAACAAGGCAACCCTCACTTCCAGAAGTTAGAAGTCAGAACTAAAAGAACCCCTTCTATTCATGTTAATCCTAATAAAGAATGTTTGCTGACTTCAAAAATATCTCATAAATCCATCCAATAGAGCCAAGTATACTGAGAAACAATGTGACTTTACAAGGACAAGAGTGACCATAGGACACAAAGTGCCACACCCTTTTCCCAGACAGTAAATGATGTCTCTCATAAAGAAGACTGAAATTCTGGAGGGATAGGCGGGCAATTCTCTCACACACACACACACACACACACACACACACACACACTCCACACACACACACACACACACACACACACACACCGTTTCATTCTTTACACAGATCCATCTTATTTTAATTTTTAAGCCAATGGCCTCAGTACTCCCAACTACTTTAACTAACAAACAGGGGCAAGAGGGACAGAGGACAAGAAAACACAAGTCAAATATACTTGCTTCTAAGCCCATTTTCCAAGAGTTTTCTCCCCATTCGTCTGCCTCTCACAGCTGGAGCCCCATACCTGGTGGAAACCAATGGTTAAGTGAAACCACTGATTTAAAGAGCCAACCAGGAAACTAACCATGACAAGTGGGAGCTGCCCTCCTCTCCCGAGCATTGATTGGCTCTTGGGGTTCCACCGGTCCCCGTTCTCCCCACATAAGTGGCAGGTGTGGCTGTCAATCACAGAGGAACTGACAATTCACCGCTCGGGGAGTAAATTGCCTTTCATCCAGCAAAGGCAGGTAGCCGCCTAAAATCGATCCTCTCCTAACAGAGCGGACCCTCCCTCTCTGGCAAGGAGAACAGAGACCCTTAAGTACAAAAATAAATAAGCAGGGCCGAAAGGAGAGTTTACAAGCGCTATTTTATTATCCCGCACCAAAGCAGCCCTTAATCTTCACTGTCCTAAGATGATCTTTCAAAGGCTCGTACAGTATTTTTTTAATTAGGTACACCCTCGTGAGTACCCCCTTTTTTGTGTGTGTAATTTGGAAATGGGGAGAAGGGAAGAATGCCATTAAGTTTAATTTCACATCGTGTTCCTTTTCATACACCTCCCCTTACCCTCCCCGATAAATCCGGCTTCATTTTCCCTGACATGAATTTTCTTAAAAACACGCTCCCCGCGGAGCCCACCCAGAAAGCCAGCCACCCCACCCCCTTGGGCTGGGGCTGCACGTCTCTCTACTTTGTTCTTCTTGGGGTTCCCCGAGGCCCCCGCCCCTGCGAACACCCCTCCCCTCGAGGCAAGGGGGGAGCCAGGCGATAGAGGGGGGCTCTGGAGAGAAGAAAGGCGATGGCAGTGAGGGTGGCTGCCAGAGGGGGACTGCGGGAGGTGGCCCGGGCCGCCGGGGCGAGCTAGAGGCGCCCGCGCGCCGGAGGAAACCGTGCACTTGTTCCAATCCGGGGGTTTACACATCAAGGCAAATCCGCCCTTAGGCCGCCCCATTCCTTCTCCCGCCCGAGAAAGCCCCGGAGGAGACGATGGTTCACCCTCGGCTCCCCCCGATAACGCATTGCAGCTCCCCACGAGCGAGGGGGACCCACACGAGGGGTGCCGGGGCACGGGCGCCCCGAGGGAGCCGGGCACCAGCGGCCCCGGCGTCGGCGTCTCACCTTTCCGATGCTCGCCCCGGGGCCGTCCCACATGGATTTTACAACCTCACGTCGCCTTGGCCCGGGGCGGCCGGGAGGAGCCGGAGCCGGCGCCGGAGCCCGAGCCCGAGCGAGCAGGAGCGGGAGGAGGAGGAGAGGAGGAGCGGGGCGGGGAGAGGGGAG